GTCTGGGGCGGCGTGAAGGTGCAAACGGCCCAGGGCCAGATGACTCTGGACTCCCTGGACGCCATCAACGTGAACCCCATGACCCCGGACTTCCCCGTGGGCGCCTGGGCAGCGAGAGGCCGTTGCCTGGGTCGCGGGCAGGGGGCTCCGGGGCTCCGGGGCTCCGCGCCGCGCCCTCTTCCGCATGTGCGGCGCATTAAAAACGCCATGCCCGACGGGGATTTTTTGCGGCGGGGAGGTGGTTTTTCTTCCGAAGATCTCGGAAGGGTAAGGAGAGCAAGCTTGCTGGAACAAGAGCAGGTGTGGCTAGAACGAAAACACGCTCACTACACCACACACACACACACAGCACACCACACGCTCGCTACACCGCACACACACACACACAGCACACCACACGCTCACTACACCACACACAGCACACCACACACCCACACTACACAAGCGCACACCGCACGCAAGGGTGAAGCCACAATGAGCACTGGGACAATGTGCAGATCAGCCCTCCAGGTGCCGCCTTGGGGTTGGCTTGCTGTGTGAAGTGTTTCAAGCCATTCACGGAGGGATCCATGGCAGCACGAATGAATTTGGAGTTTCATTAGCGCGCACACACACACACACGCATGGTTGTTGAGCGACAATTCTTTGCGTGGGAATAACCAATCTTCAAGTGATTGACTTGCCTGGTGCGAAATGTTCGGATTTGGTACGCAGCGACCTTTGCGTGTTGCAGTCCCTCCTTTTGCCTTGCTAGCGTATTTTCTCCACCGGCTTTTGGCATCGCCATAACTCAGGCAACCCTCTGCCTGCAAGCTTCTTGGCAGCAGGGAGCGGGGCACGTTGCTTCCGATCACGCCAGTCTGACCGAACTGCCGAGGCTACAAGGCGGAGGCAGCAAAAGCAGGGAAGGGGCTCTCGCAATTGCAGCCGGGGAGCGTGCAAGGCCGGGCTCAGGGTGTGGTTGGCTAAGGTTGGTTGTGGCCTTTTGCTGTAGTAGCACTCATGAGTAGCGACGCGCCAATTTGGAGCTTCCAAAAAATATTCTGCCGCGATACCCAACCCAAGCGATACCCTTAACGATATCCTCGCTGCCCACAGGGCAGCGACTTGTTCATGCCTGAAGAAGAATGTTTTTTGTTCCCGCATTGACATGGTACTCATCTTTCGAGCTAGCGCTGCAAAAAGGCACTTCGCGGTCTTTCGAGCTTGCGCTGGAGAGGTGCGATATTTGATTCGGCACTTGTTTTGGTTGCTCAAAATTCGTGCTGGCTCCAATTTTGGGCCGCCACTGACCCCAGATGTGATTCCAGGTGGAGCCCAAAAGGAATTTTGAGCGCCGAAATTCGTCTGAGCACTTTTTCGCGGCTTGACATGACTACTGGCTTCAAAGTGTAGCTTTTTTCCGCAGACTTCCGCGGAACTGCGAGCTGCAAGGCCGCTTTTGGAACAAGGAGTATTGAAAACCCAGTGTATATCTATAGATACACTTGCTGATGCAGGTATTTCGTTCATGGCACTTGCTCAAGTACTGCCGTGTTGTCGAGAAATTATCAACTGGCACCTTTCCTGCATCACTGCATCGTTCTCCTAGGGCTCAGCTCGTCCTTTGTGGTGTGGGCTGCCAGTCAAACAACTCAGCGTCGCTAGCGCAAGTTTGCCATATCGGGTGTTTTGGTTGGTGTGTGTTTGTGCGTATTGAAACAGAGCCATTCGCTTTGGCTTGCAGCTGGACCTGGTGGTGCTTTTGCTTCTTTGGCTGGTTGACCAGCCATGCCCGTGCAGGTATGGCAGTGAACCTCCACAACAACTTGTGGAACACCAACTATGCCTTGCCTCTTGGTGGATGTTAGCTGCAGAAAGTTGCAGGGCAGACCTGGAACCAGGTAGAGTTCCCCACTTGTGGGCGCTTGACAGGACCAATTGACAGAAGATCGGCATGGCAGCAGCAACAATACATGACAATGGTCCCTCCTGAGCAGTTGAAGGTGATTAATGTGCCCATTTCAATTACCCAGTTGTTCATCCGATGGAAGCGGACAAAGACTCTCGGGACCCCGTCACGGCCACTAAGGGAGGGCTCCATCAACACGTGGCCTTATCTTGCAAAGCTGGCGACTGCGCGTAGCTTGTAAAGGACATCTGCGCGGCCCAAATGTGACGTGAAACCCTGAAAGCAGGCGTTGGAGGACACACTGTGGATGGATGAAATCCTGCACCACCTAAGAAACTATGCAATGCTGATTCCCCTGCAAATACCAACAAACAATGGTTTTACCTGGTTTTCTGAGGTGGGGAGTTTGGCTTTTGGCCTGCGGGTGCTCAAGCCTTCTCAGGTACTACCCCTACTACGATGCACGCTTTTGCGCTTCACCGCTCGCCTGCCAGAACAGCTTCTTGACCTGGGCTGGGTTCGGGGAGGGCCAGCAGACATGACGCCATGGGTGACGTGCGCTAGGTTCGGGAAGGGGCGGTTGAAGTCGGGCAGCTGGGCAAACATGATGCGAGTTCGCTCACTTGAGATGAGTGCCTTAGGTCTTAGGTCCTAGGTTCTGTTTTTGTCGTGGGCGCACTGGCTGTGAGATGAGTGAGGGCCAAGGTTTTGTGTTTCTGCCGTGGTCGGCCTCTGTTTACGAGCGAATCTTGCTGTGTGACGCGTGAAAAGTCTCTTTGCCCTGGCACCCATCCACCAGGTCAAAGCATTGGGCTCCAGAGGTTTGGTCTCCTGCTTCATTTGGCCATACCTCTGGCTCTTAGGTTTGTTCATGGCAAAAGCCGGACGTGACCTCTCTGCCCCTCCCTTTGCCAAAAAAATGCTTTCCGTTTTGGAAGAGGGTGCTTGAGTGGGATCCTTTTGGATCGTGGCTTGCAAGGCGTTTGGCATGAGGTCGAATCCGCGCAAATTCCCGAGCATTGTTTAACGTATCATTTTCCTCTGTTTGTGAAGGGGAGTTGCTACCCGCGTGTGGTGCGCGCTTGCCCTTTCTCCTCGCCTCGCTGTTGGCACTTCATTTGTAGTGAACATGGGTTTGTTCAGTCGTGAGCCACACGGGCTTCTAGACGAGCTCCTCTCCTCAGCCTTTCCCTTGCCAGCCATTTGTACTAGTTGCTCACAAAACTTCCTCTCTCTAAGGGTACCAGGGATCCTTCTTTCTAGAAAACTTCCGGACACCCAGGAAAAATAGGTGGTTTTTGAAAAGAACGATGGTTCAAAAGAACGGAAAAGGAGTCAGGTTGCACCTTTTCAGATCTGCCTCACACCCACTCGTCAAGTTGTTGCGTGCTGTGTGGAAGGGTCACTCGTCGGGAACGGGCAAGAAACAGTTCTCGGATGTTCCGTTGGACCCACGACAAGTTTTGTGAACCTTGGTTGCAGAGGGGTCAACAGCAACTAAGTCACGGACTAGTTGGGGCACGAGTTTCGTGCCCCGTCCCAAACTGATCCAATTGGATGCTTTTTGTAGGTTCCAGACTCCTGGTGCACCCGGCCGAGCAATCCCAAGTCCTTCCTCAGTGAGTTTCCCAGGCAACTCGCTGTATCGCTTCCACTTGGAGTTCCAGCCGGCGGAGATCTATGTTTGAAGCCAGCACGGCGCGTGAGAAGCCTCGGATCTCAGGATCTCACAAGGTCGCACCTCAACCGCCGCATGGGCGGTTGGAAGCCCGTGCAATGTGTAGAGGAAGTGGCACGAGCATGGCATGGGCCCGTGGCCTGAACTGGAACATGGATGTGTCGCTTGTTTGTGTCTTACTTTGCCGAACCTCGAGGGGGAGAAACATGACCTCTGGCAGGAGGCGGGCCGTGCTTGTGAAACACTGCTCAGGTTCTGCTGTGGGTAGGAGCAGTAGTTGCGAAAAGCGAGTTTTGGCTTCGGCTGCATCTTTCAACAATGGATGGGAAGGCACAGCCTGCTTGTTCATGCCTCTGGCACATTCTGAACGGGGGGCCTGGTTGGACTCAGTCTGTTTGTAAGCTTATGTTGGCGGCAGGCCGCAGCCGGAGCGTGGCGAGCCGGACGATCCCGACTCAATTACATTTAAAGGAAGGTTCCGAAGCCCTTGGCAAATGGTCAGGCACGGAATGAGCACCGCGGTTTGCTTCTTTGACAAAGTCTGATCTTTCGAAAAGCCCCCATTTGTTTACTTGCGGAAAGGAATGCTGATTAGCGACTGAGAGGTGCAAGCTTTCACGCAGAGTCATCAGCATGTTCTAAAGTGGGAGTCTTGGTGCGTGACATGACTCATCCCAAAACTTGTTGTAGAATGATCTTCATGTGCCAAGGGTTTTTTGTTCACCCAACTGAGCCGAGCGACTGCGCCGGCCCCTTCTCATGGGCTGTATCCCTTTGAGTGGCAGGCAAAACGAATTCGTAGCATTTCGTAGCTGTTGCGCTACCCGAGTGAAGCTATGATATACTCATGGTTGTTGTTGGGAAAAATAATGCACTTTTGCTTATTGTGGTTTAGTGGTTGAAATCCAACCACTTAACTGCTAAAAAATATGTTTGTTGCTCCCTTCCAACGTCAACCAAGTACTCCCAGGGGCTTCAGTGCCTTCCCAAGTGGCAGTTCGTGTCAAGACTTGGAAGGATACCGCTTATGAAGACGAGGGCTGGCTGCGAAGGCTTTTGGCCGCGCTGGCCTGTTCGCGTCTTCGTTCGGAAAAAGTGATCCGTGGATCGTCTGAGTTGTGCCATGTGTTTCCATGAACTTATGTTCACCGGATCATGATCCATGGTCCTTGTCTGCCATGGTAACCGTAGTCCTTACATGATGAAGTTGGCTCAAACACTTGCTGGCGTCTGTATCTTCAGAGAAGAACCCATCTCAAAGCCCAAAACCCAAAGTACCTTGAAGGAAACCATCTCGGAGCTCTTCTTTTAAATATTCCTTTCTGCTTTCAAAGAAAGAAGGGGAAAGACAACAAACCCAAAAAAGAACAACACATCTTTCGTTCCAGCTTTCCTCCTTCAGAAGGGAGCGCGAAAGAACGCCGCGGCGAGGCGGCGGCGATGTCCTGGGACGCCTCCTTGGTCTTGGCGAACCTGGGCCGCCTGGAGCCCTGCCGGCAGGTGGAGGCCTGGGCATCCCGCGCCGCTGCGCGTGACGTGCCCGAGGCCCGGAAGCAGAGCTTCTCCGGAGATGTTTCGCGCTCGCGCCCGGGGGGAAGCCCGGGCTCTTTGGCCCAAAGTGGGCGGAAGGAATTTCTGGAAGCCGGAGGCCGGAGAGGAAGGTTGCAATCCCCATGTCCGGAGCCGATCTGAGAGACCCCTTGGTGGTTTGTTTTGGGGGTTCGCTGAGTAGACCCAGGGCTGGCCAACTGAGGTTTTGTTTCAGGCAGAGTGCGCTGAGTAGACCTAGCGTCTCTCTTGCTTTAGGAAGTCATGAGCCGGTGACTCCAGGCTGTTGCCCGCTCTTTGCGTGCTCTTCTCTCCGCACATCTCCCCACTCTTCGCTTCGCTCATCTCCCCAGTCTTCAGTCTTTGCTTCGCTCTACCTCGTGAGCGGAAGCTGCACGTCGGCCTTGCACGGCCGCTAGCTTTGGTTTGCCTCGCAGGGCCTCAAGGCCGAGCTGCAAACATGAAGTGCGTTTTATGCATAGAGGGCCCAACTTAAATCGCACAAGGCCTGACCTTTTGGATGCTTCTTGCTGGCTTGTAGCGAGGCGTGGCGGTGCAAGTTCGGGCTTTCGGAGCCAAGTATGCACCACCAGGGTGGGTGACAAGTCTCCCTCATTTTGGCAGTGGCGCACGTCTTGCGTGGCCGCGCACTTGGGCTGACAATGGCTGGCATTGATTGTGACCAAGTCTGTGCCAATAAAGCTGCACTCGTGAGAGGATGGAAGGCACACCTGTACAGGTTAGGAAGGTGGGTGGAGACATAGGTACATAAATAGTGGCAGACAGGGAGGGAGGGATGTAGACATTGATGCAGCTGCACTTGCAAATTTGCAGTGCAAGTATTTTCTAGACCATGTTGAGCCAAGGGACATCATGAGCGGCTTCTTGCCACCTGTGCGGACCTTCAAATCCCTGGGTGCTGAACCAGCATGGACACCAGGCCCAGCTTCAGCTCTGATGGAGCCCGCGACACGCCATTGGCTGTTTATTGCACGGAAAATCACGGAAATGTGTGAAAGAATGGAGGCTGCAGCCCAGGGACCTTTTTTTTTTTTTTGGGTGGGGCCAGAAACATGTGCGCAATGCGGCCGTCACCGGCTGTAGTCGGCGCCAGGCGTTGCATGATGCCATGGCCATAGTGGCCATCCACGGCGCTGATCTCACCAACATGTCCGGGGCTAAGTCCACTTGACTGCTATTGGGTTGGATCTTTAAGCTTTAACTTTTTGGGAAGTCAAGTTGGGTTTTCCACCAAACCCACAAAAAGTCAAGGGGTTTTCCACGAAGCCCACAAAAAGTGATTCACTTTTTGCAGGGGTTCAACAGCAACCAAGTCTACCAGATGTTGTCGACCTGGCTGAGCTTCCGAAGCAAGCTATAGCTCCAGCCGACTTTCAACCGAGGCGCATCAATTCTTGGCGGTTCCCAGCTCTCCTTAGGTTCACCGGGTTTTAGGGTTTGGTGGGGGTTTCCATTTAGCCCACTAGTTTCACTTGTAGCAGGGGATCAGTTTGGACAGCCCGGAATTGAATTTGTCAACTGAGGTGTGGGAACCAGCTTCTGAACGAGGTTCTTTTTAGGCAAACATATTCGCCCCAATCCACTCCCCACAAAAAACAATGGAGTTGAAACCATGGTTCGTTGGCATTTTTAGGGAAAACAAAGCATTCGACATGGATTTCGTCCAAGGCAGTGAATGCAACTTGCCCGGCAGTTTTTTGTAGCACGCGGAAGCCGTGTGCCGTTTTACTGGCATGACATGCAGATGGCCGTGGCTCCAAAAAACCGGTACCAAAATGGAACCCTGGTAAGTGGAAACATGGACCAAAACCTGCGGTTTGCCCCTCCTGTCTAATTTTGAGCCACACCCAACTCGGTTGTTGAGTGGCACCAATTATTCGACCCTCTTTTTTTTGAGGCTGCCCCACTAAAAATTGTCTTCCCCAAAAAGGGTTCCCTTTTTTCCAGGGTCACTGAACAACTGAGACAATGACGGGAGTTTTTGTGTGGCTTGCTGGGTCTCAGTCCCGTTTGCACAAAAAGGCTAGGTTTTGGCTTCCGGTTGGAATCGCCTGGCAGAAACGCCCTAGGCATCCCCCCAAAACTCCGCCCGGGGCCCCAAGAACCTTCGGTCAGGATCTTCCTGCCAGCAAAAGCAGCGGTGCTGGAAGTGGCCCTGGAGTGCGAGCTGGAGGGCGGCAGTGTGGGGCCTCTCAGTGCGAAGCCAACCTCCACACGCTTGATGAGGTGTTCCAGTAGTGCCCTTTCTCATTTTTTTACGCTGGGAGGGTTTCCTTATTAAAATAGACTACAGCAAAAGGGTGCCCTTATTCTAACCTCTCTACTGGAGGACCTAGTTGAATTACGTACTTGTTTTTATATGTTCCCCTGTTGGTTTTAAAGGGAATCTATCACTGCTGGACAGATTTCTTATGTTTTCCAGGGGGGCTCAAGCAAATGGAAGATTAGGACGCCACAAAGCCATGAGGATTCTGTAGACTTAGAATACTTGTTTAGCCATTTTACCAGTGACTCAAAGGGAAGCAAACAAGCACACATACAAACAATAACTCTTATCATGATGATTTATCCTGGCTTTTCTCTACTGAGTTTTTATGCGTGATAGGGTTTAACTACGGATCTCAGTGACTCGCTGCCATGCGGGATGGCAGAGAATCTGCTCAATTCACAGATCCTTTCAGTCACTGAATCAAGCCATGATGGAGGTTGTGCTTGAATCACTTGCTTCAAGTTGATATTTGTTTGCGTATTTGGAGTGGCCTCCAAATAGTTGATGCCTTTCAGGGTCATCCTTTGACAGATCCCAAGCACTTCACATCTAGTGTTTTGTTGTGCCATGATCAGTTCTCGTTTTTTTTTTTTGCCTACTCTCTTGGTAGAGACCCTTGCGAAGAGAAGGACTGTTTGCCTATCTACCAATCGCTGGCCCAGAAAAAAAGGAATTGCGGATTTCAAGCTGAAGCGTTTCATACACACATTGTTTCGCACCACCGGCGAGAAGGAGCGTGCGTGCCAATGCAGACGGATTGGTGCGATATCAGCAAAGCGGCTGGTTTCCGTAGTTCATGTTGACCCCATATTCCTCAAACCCAGTTTATTAAATTGATTTTTTTGGGGGGGTGTTCCCCGAAGTGCTTGGGAATGTTCACTCCGGTTGCCGCATTTCCCCGAAGCATCTTGGAGCAGCTCTGCGCGGGCTCCGGGCCAGCCCAAAGAAACGCCTCTTCTGCCGGCCATCGAGGTGGACTCCCCGTTCTGGCGAGGACCAGGCGGGTTTCGGGTTTGCCAGAGTTTGGGATTCTTAATGTGGCTGTGGGTCAAACTTAAACAGCCAGGGGACGGGGGACGGCAGATTTTAGTTCATATGTCCATATACCAGGGTTGAATTTTGGGTACCTATCTTTGACCCGCAGCCATGCGTTTTCTTTCCGGGATGTCCTTCCTTTTCCCTGGCCAGGTGCGAGAATAAACTTTTTGAGGGTCTGCAATGGTTGGAGTCCCGATTTCCCATCTGGCTTGGGCCGTGGCAGCGGCTGCCGGCTCGTGCCAGCAAGACGCCTGGGTGGTGCTTCTGAGGGGAAAAGCGGCCTAAGATCGAAATTGTGCAATGGGTTTCCATATTTGCCTTCAATGCGGCTTTTGGGCAACGCTTCTGGCTCCACTTCAACCTTCATTGGGGAATTACCAGATAAATAGAATCGCAACTGTGTATGGTCCCTGAGGATAGCGCAAGGAAAATTATTCCGGCTCCTTTTGCCAATCGGGTTCCTCCTTGTACAAGTATTACAAGTATGGCGAATCCGTGTTGCGCACAACACATGTGGTCCCTTCCAGTGAACGCCATCCTAGGATCACAGCCCCAGAAAAACACAAATCACATTGGCTCGATGGACGGAAGGGCTTGTGGTGGCCAAAGCCCAAGGCAGAAACAGTCAACTGGCTCACATGTAGCTAGGGAACCCCAAGTCAGGGTTGGAATTGTCGTTCTCCGCACTGCGTGTGATGCCCTTGCGCACGTGTCGCCTTTATTTGGCCACCTTTTACTGAAAGCGAAGACGAGTGTCACCTCGGTTTGGCGGGCACAACGGCCCCGCGTTTGGCGCTTCAGCCGTTGAGCCTCAGAGCTTGAAGCATTTTGGACAGCCGTTGCTTTCCAAATCCAACATGTCGAAGCTCCTTGCGTTGGCTGCCTTCATCGGCGTCCAGTGCATCCGCGTTGACGAGGAGGAAGGCTGCACTTTTGGAATGGGCAAATGCTGCACAACCAAGTGCGATGGGACACATCGCTGGGCTGGGATAGACTTGCAATACGAGAAGCTTGGCTGCACACCCAACCTCGTTTGACGCACGCGTTGTCCAAGTCGGTTCAGGGGGGAAAAATCACGAAAGCTAGCTTTAGCTAGCTGAAGTTTCAATTATTTGAGCCGAAAAGATTGAAAACAACAGTGTAGCTATAGTTTATGAAGACCCGTGTGTCAGTATGCATTTAACAACTGTGCGCAAGCACCAATGTGTAAGTGTGTAGGTGAGGGAATGAACATGTGCAAGCGACCGTACACAGCACAGTGGCCTTGTCATCCCCAGATCCTGTACACTGGTTTACGCAAGATAACATTTATTCTTACTAAAGCTGGTGCATTTGCTCATTTGCCTTTACCTTTGGCAGCCTTACTCAAGATTGCGAGTGACAGAGAGAGATAGGGACAGAAACAAACTAGATAGATTCAGATTCGCTGCCGGTAACGTGTGCAAACGGGTCTCCCAATTGCAATGTGCCTTGACTGCTGTTGGGTTGGATCTTTAGACTTTAACTTTTTGGGAAATCAAGGGATTTTCCACTAAACCCCCAAAAAGTTGTCAACTTTTTGCGGGGGGTCAACAGCAACCAAGGTGCAGCCCCCAAAACTTGGACGGCCCTCTTTGGAGAGTCCCAAACGGCGGCTTTTTCCTTCAGGAATTGCGTGGTGGTCGAGGGCGCATGGATCGTGGACGATAACGTCGTGAAGCCTCAGATGACGGTGTTAAGTGGTGTTTCTCTGCCACAGGGCGACTATGTTTGCCAGGACAAGCTGAGTATGCCACGCTCAGGGTTTTGTTGTATTACACCCAGGGATTACACCCTTGGGAAATGACCCAGAATGGTTCAAAATAACACGGTTTTATACGGAGATGTGCCTAAATGGGGTCAATACCCAGTGAGTGTATTCCCAGGGTGTAATACAAAAACCCTTAGAGCCACCCTGACTTCTTCGTTTTTTGGTTTGGGCAGTAGCTGTGGCAAGGCAGGATTTGGCAGTTTTCAGTTTGGGCAGTAGCTGTGGTAAGGCATTAAGTGTAATTAAGGATTTGTCACACGCGGTGCCTTGACGACTGCCCATAGACTTGTTTGTATTGCCATCAAATCCCGGCAATTTAGTGCAGCCTTGAGAGTCGTTGTCTCCGAGACTTCGTTTTCCCAAAGCACGCAGGAGCCTGTTCGCTATGCGCGTATTAAGTCGGTACAGTATGCGTGAAGTGCATTTATAGGCCAAGACCTGGGTGTTCCCTGCAGATGTTTGAGTCAATTCCAACCCCAATTCGGGGAATAATATTGTAACTATTTCTTGAAACTTGGCACCGCCAAGCTGATCCTTTGCCGTGTATCTCCAGAGCACACATGTCCAGGCTGATGCAGTGCACGGCAACTCCGTTTGTTTTGTGTTCTGCTAGGCGCGCCTTTGCGCCATTGCGCCACGCCTTTGGAGCCCTCAAGTTTTCTAACCGATCCGTCGGTTCACGAAGGTAGGTCGTTGTAGGTCGTGACAGGGTGCAACCACAAAGGCTCCCTTGCCTGTCAAGTACGCACTAGCAACCAGCAAAATGCGTTCACGAAGGAGACCTGCGACATCGTGCGCAGCGGCAAGGGCAGGGCCAGGCAGGCGAAGGTGTACCGATCCGGCGGCGACAACTCTGAGCCTCCCGTTTGTGGCTTCAACGGTATCAGCTGGCGTTGAGCGCTTGCCTGCCGGTGCTGACATTTGAGCACTAGCGATCCGCCCGTGATGCTACTGCGCTGTATTTTGGCATGTGAATTTGACCCAGGCTCAGTTGGAGCAAACGCGTGCAGAGAGGAAATGACCTGGCCAATTCTTGATGCCGTGCCTGGCTGACAAGTGTTTCTGGCGTGGAAACCGCAATAATTTGTCCCTGAATTCAATGGCCTACCCTGATCTCTGCTGTGAAGAAACCATCCTAGGGCAGGCGCAGGGCATTACCGAAGCTACTCCTTCATTCTTCTAGGTGGGTTTAGACTGGGGCCCAAGACCGACCTGACAGCCTTGACAGCTATTGGGTTGGATCTTGAGACTTTAACTTTTTGAGAAATCAAGTTGGGTTTTCCACTAAGCCCCCCAAAAAGTTGTCAACTTTTTGCAGGGGGGTCAACGGCAACCAAGATAGGTGATGACAACTCTTGAATGCTAGATCAGACAATGAGCCCAGCCCGGCTATTGGGATAGAGCCCGCGGGTGTTTGCGGCAGGCACGCTGATGAACGGCTCCGTGCTGGCGCGTGCACGCAAAATCTGGCGGGAGCAGCAGCGGCAGCAGCAGGGGCCCCGATGTGATTTCGAATATTCCTGGTGCTGAATTCCCGAAGAATTGCCACCTCCTTCCTCGAGCAATGCCTGGTTTTCTTGGCTCCTTTTTCGAGCCACCTAGACCAGTCCGGGATGTTCAAGGGTGAGTTAGCAGTAGTATGGTATCATGTGTTCATAGTTTTGGCATTGGTAAGTAGGTTAGGGTGACAGTAGACATTGGTCTGGTTGTTGCGAGTCATCTACTGTCATCAAACGATACGTTTGGGGTGGCTCAAATTTAGGTCAAATACTTTGCCCTTTCCTTCCTATCAGAGGCTTGCTAGCTGCCCATGATCCAAGCGCAACAAAAACCCTGATCGACAGAAGTTGAAGATCATTGAAGGGCAACCACGCTCCAACAAGGAAGGGGTGTTTCTTTCTTTGACAGCCAACTCACCCGCTTCTGCCAAGCGCCGTACCGCTTCGGTTTGTTTGTTGTCAGGTCCAGTTGATCTTCATTTTTGCACGTATCCATACGCAAGCCAGCTACTCGCGTTGCTGTCAGCTGCCAGCGCTAGAGGCTTTCCGCCACACCCCTTTGCCATCCCGAGGTTATGCCCAGCCCCCGGAGCAGTGCTGAAGGAGCGCCCGCTCGGATGTTCAGCAGTATTTTTTGCGGTTCCGTGGAACGAAGCTTAAAAGGCACCCAGAAAGCCAATGGATTCTCATGGAGTCTTTCGCCTGAGGCAAGGGCTTGAAAAACTCATCTTTAGCATGTGTGAGCTGTGCAAATGCACTAGAATCTTGACTGCTACTGGGTTGGATCTTTAGACTTTAACTTTTGGGACATAAAGTTGGGTTTTCCACTAAACCCCCCAAAAAGTTGTCAACTTTTTGCTGGGGGGTCAACAGCAACCAAGGGATTGGCTCAAGCTAAAGGCAGCTTCAGGATGAGGTCAGACACACACCCATAATTGTGCTTATGAGGTCAGTTGCTTTTCGACATGAACCCGCATTTCGGCACTTCCAGCACAATTTTGGTGCATCTGTGACCAACTCAGCAGAGAGCTGATAAAGAATCCCAAGTGCTACAGGGTTGCAACCCAAGGGGTGCACCCGCTTGACGGTACACCAGCGAGGGCATACTGCTTTGTAGGGGTGGTACCATGCGGGTTTGGAGGCTGTCCTCGTGGACAAGAGATGCCAGTTGGCCATGGTTCAAAACCAATGGGATCCTATTTTGGGATAGGTCTCCAAACGATTCGGATCGATATGGTTGGGCCCTGATGACTTCAGACCGTTGGCTGCCGTTGTTGTTTTTTTTCTCCTTGGGATTCCGAAGGGTCGGTGAAATACGAATGATTTATATCTCAATGTTTTATTTATGTATGTTTGAAGACCAGCGGTGTGCTTTCTGCCAAGGGTGACTGGCACTTGCAGAAACCTGCTGATTGCAGTCAAAGCTCAGGAGCGGCTCCAAGGCAGGGTGCCTTGCATGGATGGGCAGTGCTCAACAGCCCAGCTGGCCATGTTAGGTTGTTCTTGTCATGAGGGTCATAGTATTTCTTTTCAACAGCCCTTTATATGTTATAACTGCTTTGATAGAACCAGAAGTCACTGAGTCTTGTGCGCTGCTCAGTTGAGAAGACAGCCAAGTTGGCATGGTTCTCTCGCATCCTTGTCGCTCCCGAAGTGACACCATTCGCCCCTGGAAGCTTTTGGGATGCAATGTGGAGCTTGGGGGACTTCAGTCACCGCCCCTCGTGGCTCTGGGGACTTCAGCCAAAGCAAACAAAAGCAGACCGCAGAGAGGCTATCCGAGCTCGCAGTTTGCAAAGCTCGCGCGGCAAGCGAACCTCCTGTACACCGCTGGCGCCCCGGGTTGCCAGTCCGAACCTTCAAAGTTGTTGGAATGCTGCCGAGGCGTTGCTTTCAGGCAGGACTTTGCACCCTGACCTGCGGCACTTTTGGGGCCTCATGGCCGTGCTCATGGGTCCTGGTTTGCTAGGGTTGCCTCTCATTGGTTATATTATATGCGCTTTTCGGCATTGAGCCCGAAGCAGGTGAGGTGTTTTTTTTCTAGGGCTGGTTTTCCTGGTAGGCAGGTAGGTGGTTGGTTGCGCGCATCCCCAACATCACCAGGCCACTTGGAGTTTTAGGCTGCCTGAGATCTTAATGAGGGCGTGTTTTGAGTTGGTTCGGGGTTCGTTTGGCTCGGCAAAGGGCTGATTTCCAGGCTGTCGTCGGGGTGGGTTTTGCTTGGCCTGCTGATTTGTGCTACTCGTAGGTGTGCTGCCGGTTTCGCTGTGGTTTTAGGGATGCCTTAGGGTGGGGTTTAAATGACTTTCGGGAGCAGAAATCAGCTTGAGGCCAACCCAAAGTCACTCGAAACCCAGCAGAAGCCTGGAGAATCCTAGGTGCAGGTGAGGCCGGTGATGCTCTGCGTCCAACCAACCTCACGTAACCCTTAAATTGTGGTTTTGGATTGTTTTTTTTTTTTTTAACGCCCTGTTCTCCTCAACCAGCAAACCACCGGGCTCCAAACCACCGGTAAGAGGGAAGCTGACAACCCCCCAACAGATTGCCCTGCCAAGCCCAACCAGCTGCCCAACCCGGGAGCTCCCCAGCCCAACCTGGTCCCGATGTTTTCAGAAAACCAGCCCTGGACTAGCAAGAACACAGACAAACAACTCTGCGGCCCGAAGCTCGATATGAGCAAACGACCAACTTGCCAGACAGATGTTTGGCCCATATGCGAAACCTCAATGCGGGCTGAGGCAGTAATGGACTGCAGTGGTGCGGAGTGCGGGGCACTAAGATGAAGTGGATTCGGCTTGCATGGGGCTCAATGCGGATGTTTGACTGGCTGTGCAACAGCAAAAGAAGCAACACCCAGACAATCGGCGAGGATGTAGCGGGTGTGGGCAGGTGTTGGTTCGCCAATTCTTGTGTGCATGTTCACGCACATCCCAGTTGCCCAGTGGATTCTCTCCTCTTTCCATTTTCTTCTGAAAGGATTGCCCCTTAAACTTAACCAACCTGGATTGCTATTGGGTTGGATCATTAGACTTTACCTTTTTGGGAAATTTAAAAGCAGTTTCCCACTGAAGCCACAAAAAGTTAACTTCTTGCAGAGGGGCTCACCACCAAGCAACCAACAAATAACTCAATGCTTTATGGAAATCCACTGGGCATTTGAGACACGACTTGAACCACAATCAAAACCCGGGTAGATGAAGGTTAGGGGCAGTCCCAGCCAGAAATAGTTGCGGATATCCGCCTTCTTAATTCTTGAAGCATGGCTCTGGGATTACTACCATTTTAATACCGCAGTTTGATTATAACTCAAATGAGCAGAATATGGGTTTGTGTGCGTTTGTGTTTGTGAACCTTCGCCCCATTTTGACTCAGACCCACATTTGATTGTGACTCACTTGAACACTTGTAGAGGGGTCAACCACAACCAAGCAACCAACCAGTAATGCGCTTGCTTTCCTATGGGATTTCCACTGGGCATTTCACAAGCCAAGCTGCAAGGCCAGCGGCAGCAAGAGCCCGGCGAGTTTGACCGTGGCTGGTGCACCAGCGATGCCAAGCGGAAGGACTTTGTGGAGGTGCGGTGATTCGATGCGATGTTTGTTGGGCCGGTCACGTGTTGGTCCGGCAGTTTGACACGCTCCTGACCCCCCCAAACAAAACGACAACAACAACAACAACAACAACAACAACAACAACAACAACAACAACAACAGCAGCAGCAACAGCAACAGCAACAGCAACAGCAACAGCAGCAGCAGCAGCAGCAGCAGCAGCAGCAGCAGCAGCAGCAGCAGCAGCAGCAGCACCAGCACCAGCAGCAGCAGCAGCAGCAGCAGCAGCAGCAACAGCAACAGCAACAGCAACAGCAACAGCAACAGCAACAACAACAACAACAACAACAACAACAACAACAACAACAACAACAACAACAACAACAACAACAACAACGACAACGACAACGACAACGACAACGACAACGACAACGACAACGACAACGACAACGACAACGACAACGACAACGACAACAACAACACAACGACAACGACAACGACAACGACAACGACAACGACAACGACAACGACAACGACAACAACAACAACAACAACAACAACAACAACAACAACAACAGCACAGCAGCAGCACAGCAACAGCAACAGCAACAGCAACAGCAACAGCAACAGCAACAGCAACAGCAACAGCAACAGCAACAGCAACAGCAACAGCAACAACAACAACAACAACAACAACAACAACAACAACAACAACAACAACAACAACAACAACAACAACAACAACAACAACAACCAACACCAACACCAACAACACCAACACCAACACCAACACCAACACCAGCACCACCAGCACCAACAACACCAACACCAACACCAACACCAACAAACAACAGACAACAAACAACACCAACAAACAACAGACAACAAACAACAAACAACAAACAACAAACAAGAAGTCAAACAACAAACAACAATCAAAAAGTCAAACAACAAACACAACAATATTTGGGGACACTTGCCATGAGCAGCCCAAGGGGCTTCTTCATGCTTCATTCTCCCTCAGACTTTTTCACGGGAAGAAGCCATATCAGGGTTTGCGTTGTCATATGCGAGTCGTTGGTCTAAGGACGCATCCACTTCCGGTATTTGCCACGTAGATTGTTTGTTCAATCCCGTTTTGCCATGCGTGTCAGGGTTGGCTATCCCACAGATACGTGGTTGACATGTCAGAATCTGGCAAAATGCAGCCCGATGTGTGCACCGCCTTCTCCCGTAATGCTGATCTTATGCGTGAACGGTCCACAAGGTCGACAGAGGGTGCTAACAAGGCCAAATTTTACTTGCGCAGCAGTTGGCTGATGGCTGGTGAGTTCCTTCTAGTGCCACATTGGCACCAGCAAGCCAAACATGGACAAAGTGCGTTGCATGTTGCCCACACCCGGTATCTGCGGAGCCAAGATCAAAGTGATGGTTACACTAAGAATCTGTTGGTGCGACTGTAGACAGCGGCATCCAATGGATACACGCCGTTTTTTTTCTTCTTCTTGCCCACATATGCACACTATGAAAGGGCTCCTTAAAACATACATTTTGCAACCATTTGAAACATGGCTTCTTCCACCCAAATAAAGGGAAACCAGCATTTGCAAGGCAATGTTCAGGTGAATGATGTAAGGATCCCTGTGAACTGATGCGTTTGGAGAACTTTGCACTGTTCGGGGCCGATTGGCACAGGGTTTCTGCGACGTCCGACGCGCAGGTGGACATTGCCGGGCGGCTCATCCCGACGCTTTGGGTCATCTATGATGAGCCGCGGCCTCGGTTCTGCAGGCATTTGGGTGTGGTTCTCAAAATGGCTGTCGGTCAAAAATGGGTAGCCAAAATGGAACCCTGGTAAATGGAAAGAAGGACTAAAACCTGCGATCCAATTCCTGGTGGTTTAATTTTGACCCATACCCAAATTAAAGAGCTAGGGATACGCAGGTTTTTTAGCCTTTGGTTCCATTTGCCGAGGTGCAATTTTAAGTCTCCATTTCTTTGAGCCACCGCCATTTGACCCTTCGCAAACGGGGGGGACGGCCAAAGGCGGCAACTTGAGAAGGTTCACAGCGGAGACCGGGTCCCTGTCAGGTTCCATGTTAGTTGGTGAGAGAGTAATCGAGTTTCCCGTTTTGTGCTTGGTTGAGACCCCAAGCCGCGATGGTGCATCACGGAACCGGCATCAAGGGCTCCTGGTTGTGTCGCGGCTGCACCAGCAAACAAGCGGCTATGACCATCATGTCAGCACCTGGAGGTTTTGTGACGAGTAAATTTTCACCGCATGTGCTCAGAATAGCTACGCTCGAGCTCTTGTTAACAACTCAGTCACATTCCCCCGGTTAGGGGCAGAGAGAGTGCTACCTTTACTCCACAGACCCTAAGCATCCATGCCTGAGACGTGGCCTGAGCTTTCGGCCGAGGTACTTGCGCAAGCTGTTGCCAGAGCAGAGTTCAAAATGAGGTTGGCTGGAGGCTCGGGCCCAGCTCTGAAACCTCGTTGTCCAACTCTAGGTGTCCTGTTTGGTTGTTTTGGTGGAAAAATAGATGGCGATTCCTGGTTTACCTGGTAGTTTAATCATCTACCAGGGCCATCTATTTGCCTCAAAAGGACACCTATGCGTCCAACTATTTGCGTGGGTTAGTACCATTTTCCAATGACATGTTTTGCTAGACGCCGTGTCATTTTTCTGGTGAACAAAGAAGGCAGACGCAGCCTTTGTGTCCTGAATCTCAGTTTGTGTGTGAGATATTCAGCCGGGCAAGCAGAATTCGGAAGGGCGCCATCATGACATTGTGGATATTGCGGCGTTGCGGCCGAAAAGCCACGGCCAATACACCTCATGGCTCTCGATATGTCCCAACTTTCCGTCTGTGAGAGCAAGGCTAAGACAGACCTGGGGCCCTGGGGACTGGATGACAGTGGAAGGACTGGGCCCAAAACATTTTGCCAGCTGAGCCGGGGCGTGGCAGACGGGCATCGCTGGGAATGCGTTTGACGCAGAGGCACTTACATGAGAGTGAATGAGAGAATGAGACTATGATACGCCCTCCAAGGCTTCCAAGGCTTCCACGGCTTTGATGCAATTCGGGGCCTACTCATTTTGTGGTTGTCGCAGCCGTGTGGCTGATTGCATTACTGCTCTTCAGCCACAGCTCGAGCGATTTCGCTGGGGCCCTCCGACATGATGAAGCAGCTCGGCATGCAGCTGGCAGCTGGAATCGGAGCAGCGTTTTGAAAAATATTCCACACCTTCTGTAAATCTAGGCAAGTGGTTGCACTAGCCCCGCCCCTGAGTACAGTATTGCACTATTCCACGACAGGTGCTTGGGAATTGCCATGCTCAGAAGCACCATTGATGTTTGCTGAGGTTTGTGACCCGAGTGCCGCGCCCAGAATAGCAGGGCTTTTGCTGAAACCGGGCCGTTGATTGTGCTCTGTGTTTCTTGGGATTTGTGTGTGGTGCATGTACTTGCTGATGATTGCCTTTTTTTGGCATGTGCGGTCCATGAACGAGACAGCTACACATGCGGACCCTTAGTGGACCTCGATGTGCGGATGTTCGGCAACCAAGAGGATGCCTTTCAAGCCTGGAAGTTCAGAGGAACCAGGATCTAGCAGGATCTGGCAGATGCTAGCCCCGGGTTTCAACAACCACGCCCCACTTCCCACACTCAAAAGTCCGGGTGACCCGGCGGTTTTGGGGGTTTCGGGTGTCAGGTGCTTCTGGCGTTGTCTCTGTGCAGTGCCTCCAAGCTCAGGACGGGGGATAGAGCCCGGGAGGGACCTGGTGCGCATGGTGGTGCAGTATCTAATCTTGACTGCTATTGGATCTTTAGACTGTCACTTTTTTGGACATCAGGGGATTTTTCACTACACCCCAAAAAAGTTGTCAACGTTTTGCAGGGGGGTCAACAGCAACAAAGTAATGGCTGACATTGTTCCTGATGCCTTCCTTGCACTCAGCGGACTTTCTCGCCGCCCTTCAGGTCCAAGGACAAGTTTGGCTTCTATTTCCCTGTGCACTCACAGACCCTCGGCAGCGTTCAGCGGCGGTTTGATGTGCATGGTAAGGAGTCTAGGCAGAATTCCGGACGTGCGCGGTTGAGGATGTCAGGTGTGCTCGGCTGAGGATTCCTGCCACTATTGAGCTTCTTCAGTCCGTCGCCTGCCTGCAGGGAGTCCGCAGCCATGCAAGACCATCATTTGTGCTGGGCTCTTCAGATTCGAGGCTTCCGCTGTGTCTTACAGCACTAGGTGCCAGGCCCAATGGATGAGCTGGCCCCAAACGCTGAACGGGGACGAACAGGGGCACGGGGGGGGGAATGAGATACAGGAACTCAGTAACAGTGAGCTAGACCATCCGTTTCCAGATGCGTTTTAGATCATGGGGCATTTGAGCAAGCATTTTACCATCAACAACCTTTGGAACGGCTTTTTATGCCAGTTACAAATCAATATGGCTGTGGTTGTCAAAACCGTTTTGGGATCCCATTGTGGTTGGTAGGTGGAATTCGCCGCCCATTTTAGGCCACCCATTTTAGTGGTTGGAGTGGTGGATGTTTCCCGGAAACTGTGGCCGATTTGGATTCTGAGAAGCTGATGGCCCTGGCTCGTAGGTGTCGGAGAGCGAGCCAGCCAGGTGAGGAAGCACTACCCGAACTCGCCCATCTACTTGTTGCAGGATGGCGGAAACGTCGACTTTGGCCCACTGTGCAAGGAGAAAGAGCCTCCCGGCGCGATGTTCGGTTGCCTTTTTCTTTTCTTCGTTTGGGCGGGGCCGGGCTTTCTTTCTTTGTGCTTCAGCCTTTGCACCATGACGAATGACACATTCCCAGCCAGGGCCTGGAGAGTTGGGCAGGTGTTTCGTTTTTTGTTTTTTTTTTGTGTGTGTTTGGCTTCTGTTCATTTTCAGGGGGCTGTAAACAGCAAAGCGCTACCGTTAAGGCTGTGAATTAAAGGGTCCGGGCCTTTCGGCAAGATGCATTTGATCTCATGTGACCCAGCAACGCAACTATTTAAGCACGTGCGAACCAAAATTGGACATTTATCAACGCAAGACTTCGGCGCATTTCCCGGACGCACTGCATTTTAGACGCGGCGAAGTGTCATGGAGTTGGCAGTTGCCTGTGTGAATGGGCACTGGGGTGCACTATGTGGCAAGGGGTTTGCAAAGCTCTTTGTTAATGAGTGTCCCGGACATGGGGGTTGATCAATACTCCGTGCGACCCCGAAAGAACCATGGGTAACTTTTCCCATTTAGTGGTGAAAGTCATCTTTTTGGGTGGTTACCCTAAGGGTCACCCCATGTAAAGCAACCTTTGATCAACCCCCACATGGATACAGGGCTTCACTTGCTTGCAGGACAGAGTCGTTTGCCCCCTTCGGCTCGCAGCTATGCGCTGAAACGTAGTAACCCTAATCGATTTTGGGCCCTCAAAATTGGTTGTTTCCAAGGGCCCCGGGTCGGGGTCGGGGTTCTCCATTGGAGGGCCCGGAATTCTGCATAGGGAGCATGAGGTTTAGGGAAGTTGGCTTCTTGAATTCCCTCTTCGGGATCCTTAGGGTTATTGATAAATTTATACACCCCCAGAGTTTTAGGCCTTTCTGCCCACAAAAACACATGTGCAAGGTCCTCCTTTTAACCCCAGTGCCTCTTCGGCAAACCGCTCATGTAAGGTACAACTGCATTTTCGACCGCGTGCATGGCCAGAACAGCCGCTGGAATCCCCACAGCTGGATGGCACGCTTCCGGAAGGCAACTGCGGCACTGGGCACGGCCGCCTGGCGACAGTTGGCCACGGCGGATTTTTTTTTGAACCAAAGGTCACTCCGTATGGGTTTGTCTCAAAATAGGTTGGAACTTCCACAAGTTGGTTGGCGGCCTTTTTGTTTCCCTTGAAAAGCAACCCAAAGCAGGGACCCCTCAGAAAAGACACACGCACATCTTAACTCTGACTTCATGAGTGATGAGTCCTTTTTGCTAAACGCTCTTGCATTTCTGTGCGTGTAAGAGCGCATGCGCTGTTTTGGCGTTTCCGCACCCAAAAAGGCAACACACTTAGCAAAGCCAGGACTAAGAATGCGTGATGCGCGTGAATCGCTTTGCATGGACAAGCTTTAGTGCTGAGGAATACGTGATCTACCTGGAGCCGGACGTCATTGTCAGGCTCGCTATTGGTGTGTTATCATTGAGGGAGGTACTTCAACATAAGGGGACCCTGTGAGGCCCACTGCGGTGCCATGTTTTGATTGTTTAAGCCTTTTTGCTCGTTGAGCTCCCTGTGCAAAATCTACTGCAGAAAGGGCCGCCTGTGCGTTCCTTTGGTTTACGGAAAGACCCAGCTCTCTGGACGCATTGGTCTTTTGCTGGGCGACCTTTGCTGGTCGTGCACCAGTGTTGTTGCAGGATACAAGCTAGCTAGCGCACGCCGTACTCAGGAAGCACCACACGATTGAGCCGAAGCACGATGCTGGGGGCATCTATGATGATTTCAACCCCCACATGGGCAAGGAGCGATGCGTTGCTTATTTCACGCCACTTGCCTGGGGCTGCAATAGGCCCTCCGAGCCAAATCCAAAAGCCCTTCCTGCAGGCGAAGCAAGTGGTGAGATTCAGTGAGTTGACCGCGAGGGCAACAGTTTGCAAAGCATCATGCCTCGGGATGCTGGAGAATTGAGAATTGCGGACCTTTGATAAAAGCAGTAATGACCCTGAAAGTTGTAAGACGAGCCTGGAAATTTCTACCATTCATGGTTTCGGGCACTTGTTCCACAGCGAACACAGCAGTTCCACACGTTTCTGGGGGTTTTGGTTTGCCTGGGAAGGCCAACAAGAGTTAGGAAAGGCTTGTGTCCTGCCAAGCCCAGTGGGCCTAGCGCGGGCCGAGCGCGTGCCTTCACCTGCGAGTGAGTGTTAATTGGGGTACGGGAATGTTCGAGACCGCCGTGGGGCCAAGTAGGAAGAAAATTGGGGTCTGAGACGGGGTGTTGACAAGAACTGAGCAGCAGAAGTACAGTTGTTGGCATTGCTTCAACTTCTGTTTTCAGCACTTTGTATGGCCCAAGCTGTGTGAGGGTGTGGGTGCATCAGAGTCTCGTGTGTGTGCGGGGGACAAACAACCTCAGCCTGAGGTCTTCCGTGAAGCGCGTGTATAGGAATTCCCTTCCCACGAACATGGAGGGAGGGTGACCCCCTATTGACCCAGTTTATTAGAGGGATGTTCCCCTCCAGTGCGGATTCCCCACATTTCACCCAGGGACACCTACTGCGGTTGCTTCATTGGAAGATCCTTCTCCTGGGGCTGATCCCCATGGCCTGCCGTGCCCAGGAGACCATCAGGTACCTTGAGAAGATGGGCCGCGAGCGCCGCACGGCTGCAGCATTTTCTTGGATGTCAGGCGTGTCGGGCATGTCCGACCTGAACGCGAAGCTTCCGGGGAAAACAAAGGAGAAAAAAACAAAAGAACCGCGTCAAAAGCAGGGCACGACTTGGATGTGTGACCTCAAGGCCGCGCAGTTCTGTGTTCAGCCTGGTCCTGTCAGTTCTGTGTGACTTGTTTGGCAACCCCGAACCCAGCAAAAGGCAAGAACATCGCTTTCTGATGCTTTTTGTTTCCAGGCTCGCCTTGGCATTGCCCGCCTTGTGATGGCATTGCCTTGCTCGCTCAGGCAACCCCAACTTCAATGTGAGCTGGATCCACTTCGGCCTGAGCGGCGGCTCATACTACCGCTCGGAGGCCCTTGATCCCAAAATTTTCGGTATGGAGTGCAGAGTGCAGCGCTCGGCATGATATCTCCAAATACATGGCCATGAATTCAAATAAGGAACTAGCTGGAGAGTGGTTGGTGGACGTAACACCCCACCTAAATGATGTCCACCAGAAGGGTTCCCGAATCAAATTCATGCCCACATAGACATTATTATCAGCGATGCGTGACAACTGGGTGATTTCTCTTGCTGAGGCATTGTGCAAGCAGCTTTGGTTTGCTCGTTGTTTTGTTTTTGTGAAATCGTTGAACCATCACAGACCTGTTTCTTGTGCGATTCAGATTCATTATTCCATGATCCTGTGATCTCGGAACTCACCTGGGTCTCCGTACCAGGCAGGCAATACTAAAAGACGTGAAGAGAGACTGTAACACACGCCTCACATCGGGCTATTGCCAGCTTGTCCAGTTTTTATGTTACGGCTGTTAACCCCAGACATTCTGGTTGAGAAAGGGTCGGATCGCTAGCTTCTTGAAAGAAGGGTATCAAGCAGAAGCAGTGGCTTGGTGTGCTTCGGCTCCGCGCGGGGTCCATTTTTTGAAAACTACCCCATAGACTTCAACCCAGGGGTTCTCCTGGGAATTTGAACCCCTGGGTTTAAGTCTACCCTTCGTCAAGGTAGCACCGGTAGAACCCGAAGCGGCTCTTGTGCCAACCATGGTTGCCCACTTTCTCCTCCACTCGGGCGAGCGCTCGACAGCTCGGCAGGCGGTGATGGACGCTTTTGACCCCAAGCAGCTCTGAAGGGGGGCAGTTTGGGTTCTCAGTTGTTCAGTGGCACCCTTTTTCCTGTTTTTTTTTTTTTTTTTTCCCGCGAAAAGGGTTCCCTTTGTTGTCCAGGGTCACTGAACAACTGAGGGTTAATCCCGGCAAGTGGAAACGTGGAGCAAAACCTGCGGTTTGCCCTAGCTGTTTAATTTTGAGAACCACACCCATCTGGAGGGCAGTTTGGGTTGAGTGGGTTTCCAGGATCCTGGATCGGTTTCGGGTGAGGAGGAAACCAATGGGAAGATGGGCTGTGAGGAGTTGGACGGAGGCTGATGGGAAGGATTTCAACCAAGCCTATGCCTTGACTTCGCTGTTCTTGGCAAGTGCTTGGCAGTTTGCTTTTTGGGTTTTGTTCATGTTTGGTAGGGGGCGGCAACAAGCAGTTGTTTGCTACCATGCCAAGGGTTGTGAACCAACTGGAAGCAGACCCCCATTTCCTTCAACTTTGTATCGCTGGCCGGCTGGGGATTTGATCCCTGCGTTGTGGACACGGGGAGGGATACCCGGTTCCTTCACCAAAGCCCCGTCACCAAGGAAGCCCATGCACAGGTATGCGTTGTATCAAACCGGTTCATTCATAGTCACGACTCCAAAAGCTTAACCTTCAATTTCTGGGCCCTGGCAACTAAGAACATGTTCAAGCATGCTGGCCCAGGAAGCTCGGCAAACTTTGAAGCCGACTTCAGCGGGCCATGTCTTTGGGACCGGGGGCCGGGCCTGCTTTGTGCTGGGTGCATTCGTAGCTTGGTACTGGGACGTTTCCATTCGTTGCCGGCGCCCAAGGCACGTGAAGAATATCGACTTCGCTGCCATGGAAAAGAAAGAGGGCGACAAGACCATGAGCAGCGATTTCGCCATGCCGCCTAGTTCGCAAGGTCGAAGTGTTCGAACGCTGTTCTAAATCCAGTGGGCCCTCTGGCCCCTATTGCAGGCTCATGAAAGTCAGTCTTACCTTCTGGACCGATCTTAGGCTTCTCCCAGCGATCTTCAGTGAACATCCCAATCCAACCACCAAAATAGGTTCTAACATGGGTGGTGAATTCACCTACCCCAAAATGGGATCCCGAAACGGTTTTGACAACCAAAAGTCACAGGGTCCAAGAGGCGAGTCTCTCCTTTCAAAGGCGTCTGTTCGGTTGAGGCTGGTGGCGCTCTTCGCGCGGGGCTGGACGGTCTACCCCTGGGAGGAGGTGTCACAGCATTGGCTGAGCCCCAAGAAGCCCGACGAGCCGGAGAGGACTCGGGCGAATCCAATGTTTCGACCCAGTTGCCCAGTGGATTCCGCCTCTCTTTTCTCCTTTTTTTTTTTTTTCTCCGGGGGAAGGGAAAGTCAACCAACCAAAAAGGATGCGCTTTTTGTTCCCATGGCCACTGGGCATTTGGCATTTGAGTCTAAGATCCCAGCGGCTCTGGCATTGTCTCGTGCTTGAGTTTTTATTGCCATGCGACGCGGAAACAAAAAACCGGCAACCAAGTGAGCATTCCAAGCAGAGAGGCTACTCTGCCACGACCGAGGTGCATTTAGCCGGGAAGGCCTCCTTTTGCACTTCATAGTTCCGAACTTGACCTCAAGCTCCTGCAATTACAAGCGGGAGCGCGAAGCCGACAAGCATGCTTTGACCTTTAAATGAGGAAGGATGAGGAAGGATGAGGAATGTTGAGGCAGCAAAGGAACTGTTTCAGCACCATGGCAGAAACGATAAATACATCAGGAAATTTACACAACGTCCAAGGAATTGGCCGCCCATGGTCACGAGAAACCAGCAACAGTTTGCAGAAAGCATCAACAGAAATCGGAATATGGGAGCATTCGAAGTTGGGCAGAGAGCGAGAGCAGAGACATACCAGACAAAGCAAAACAAAGAGACAAACACTGAGAGACAGCACCCTTGCCTTCAGCCAGGCTGTGTTGATGTGTCCATTTGTCTCAAAAATGGCTCTTATGCTCGGAATGGTGTGTATCAGCAGCGAAGAAAGCACCGCAGAACGAGTTGAATTCGCAATGCGCACCAAGGTGCACAAAGGCACACCAAAGCACACAAATACTTCACCGCAGTTGGGGCCCCATGGCATGCCGACTGGCGGTGGACATGTGGCCGAGTGTAGCTTTTGAGACCATGGCAACCAACAAACAAATCTTGTGGACCATCGCAACCCAACACTGATTCCCCGAACGTGTCCCGATAATTACCCACCCCAGTCGTCAGTGGAGTGCTTGCGGCCACTCAGTCTTGCTAGGAAATCGGAGAAGCTGACTGCGGCTTTTGAGCACAACCACAAGGAGCACTACAACGACCGCGTGCCAGAAAAGGAAGGCGAGGGTGCGAACCAAGCGCTTGAGGGAGTGCTGAACCCGTGCGAATGAGAGGCTGCCAAGTCGCTCGAACGAGGGTGTGTCAGAAAATGGCGTAAACATGAAGCTTTGCTTTCGTGCATGCTCGGCACAGAAATCTGACACTGCCCTTTTGAAATCACAAGAATCGTGGAAGGCCCGGAAAGAAGAAGACAGCGTGACCCTGTTTGGGCCATGTGTGTTTTGACTACAGTTTTCTATTTTGTAGGCTTGGGTTTTTTTGTCTCCGTCCTCCGGCAGAGTTCCATGCACGCCCATCAACCCTAAGCCCACCCGCCACCCCGAACACATAGGAATGCACCCTCAGGGAAATTTGCCAATGCCAAAGCTGTGACTTTCGGTCAGGGGAATCCTCTGCCAGGCAAGCTGATCCAAACCTTCTCAGAGAGGTTTCCGGACACGACCTGCCATGGCTGTGTGTGGTATCATGATGCGGACCCAGCGCAGCTGTATCCCATCCCGAATCTTTGGCTGCAAACGGGGACATGTCGCGCGACGCTGGGCGTAATGTATTGCATTCACACAAAGCAGGCCGCCAATGGCAAGCGCAAGCCAAAAAAAACAAAAGCATCCGGGTCGCCTTTTTGGGGGGGTCATGCCTGACAATGATCGACCCGTGGACATCTGCAAGACTTCCTGTTTAGGCTACTGTTTTTTTTGCGCAGGGAACTGTGCTTCTGTGCGTTTATGTGCTGAAGCTAGCTTGTGGTTCTCTCTTTCTGGATTGGAATCGTGGGTATCATTTCCACGATTCCAGCCCTTGCTTATCGCTTTGAATTGGCGGAGCTAGTGTGGTTCTGTGTGTTTGTCACAAAAGAGGCCCTGTCTGCTTGGCCCAATGAGACATACCGCTTTGAACCATTTGGAGGGTTCCCTTGCTGGAGCCTATTTGTGATTGGCTATCCTGGCTGTGCTGCCGGTGCCCATTATTGCCGAAATGGCTGTGGGTCAAAACCAATGGGATCCGGGTGGTGCACCCATTTTAGTCAATTTTTGTGGTTGGATTGGGATGTTCACTGGGGGTACGATTTGGATTGTGACCCATGGCCAAATGTGTTTGCTCATAGGCTTCCTTTGGATAGGCTGTGCGCGCTACCTAATACGACCTGCCCTGAAGCGCCGATTCTTTCGGAAGGCCTGGACAACATTTCTAGGGCTACCTTCCATTTCCATTCTTTCCAGGGATCCTTCTTTTCAGGAAACCATCAAGAATTCAGGGGAAACAGATCCGGTTTTTGAAAGAACGATGGTTTAAAAGAATGGAAAAGGAATCAACCATTAGAACATTTGCTTGTGACCACCCTCGTGCACCTGCATTCACTTGGCTCGTTTTGGTACAAATGTATAGCTTTCGTAAGCTACTAGGTCCACAGTAGTGCCCTTTCTCTCCCCTTTTGTGGGGGGAGGGTTTCCCTACTAAAATAGACTACAGAACAAAGGGTACCTTTATTCTATCCTCTCCACTGGAGGACCTAGTCTACTAGTCTTGAATGCTCGGCCATGCTCGGCCTTTCCCTCTGAGTCTGAAGACTTTGGCAAAAGCTTTCCGGTTTGACGTGTCACATTCTGGTGGCGGGTTCGAGTTTCGAGCTTCACGCTGGCTGCGTTCTTGTCCATGTCCGGACTGGATGTTATGGTTTTGCTCCAACGTTCATGTGGCCATGGGTCAAAATCCAAATCGTACCTGCAGTGAACATCCCAATCCCCACTAAAGTAGAGTAAAATGGGTGGCGCACCTACCCGAAAATGGGATCCCATTGTTTTGCTCCAACCTTCATGTCTTTCTATAGAGCGGGGCTGTTGAAGCCAGCAGGGCTGCTTGCAGCTGAGCTGAGCCGCTCGCAGGGGCCCAACCCCAAAGATTGCAGTTTCGTTGGATCTTTGTCAGACTCTAGGCTAACCCGCCAAACGCACACACGCTTTCCATTGAGATACCCAGAGTCACAGGGAGGAAGAACCTCATGCACGAAGAAAAAAAGGCAAAACTAACTCCTCCAGGTTGCCGTTTCCTTTTCCGTCTGAGTTGCGCCGGGCTGATCGCGCCTTTCGCTTGCCAAGGAGCCATCAGCCTCCCATCCCGGCAGCTTGGCATGAAAACGTGCCGGCGCGTGCCGGGACTTGCGCAAACTTAGCGCCGCCGGAGCCAATCTGCGCTAAGCGTTGCATTTGAATGCCCTGTCTTTCGTTGAGCTGGGGGCCTTCCGCAGAAAAGGGAAGTGTTGCAAGCACCAGAGATCACACTGCGCCTTGCTTCTTCCCATGCGGGTCTTGCGAGTCAACGCATGCGAAATCGCAATGCTTTCGCTTCTCAGGCCAAGTACCGCTACCCGCTGAGTGCCTAAAGGCGTCATAGGCCTGTGCTGAATGAGCTTTCAACCGGAGGATGCATAAGGGGCGGGGGATCGCCATTGAGTGTACCTCAAGCGTGCCAATTTACCCAATGGGTTTTGGTGCATTCTATTGGCAGAATTCTGCGAAACGTGCATGATCCTCCCATCCAATCAGGCTTCCCAGAAAAGTCTCACAGCCCGTGCTGTCAAAAAGTCGCGGAGTTGGGTCAGGGCATTTGGCAATTTGGGTGTGTCTTTTTTGAACGTCTCCTTTTTTGGGCGTTTCCAAAGGGACACCAAAAGGGCAACCTCCTTTTTTGGCGGGCCCCCTAAAACCCAAGCCACCCATTTGCCAGTCGCAAGGTCGCCCAAAGGCACAATCCATTCCCAGCCAGGCTGAGAGGTGTCGCTTTGGCCGGACTCAAAAGGGGGCTTCGAGCGCGAGCCAGCCGCATGAGTCTGCCTATAGCGAGCTCACTTGGGGGAAAACCAGCTCATCATGAGACAGGGGAATCCTGAATTCAGCTTTTGGACTTATCGCATCTTTTTTGCAGATGAGTGTCTTCCAAAAGTGGGAAGGACCGACGTCTGTCTGGAGTTTCAGTGTTACCTGAAAAGACGACAGGCAACAAATGTTCAAATCCTCATAAATCCTGTGCGTCGTGAAACCACTTCGAGTTGCCGAAAGAATGCAAATGGATGGCACATCTTGGCACTGTGTTTGTTGGCATGATGTCAAGAATTATTTGTGTGTATGTATGTATACATATATGCAGCTATGAATTCTAATGGGGAGCCCCCTGAAAAGTGGTTGGTGGACATAAATCCCGACCGAAATGATTAAAATTCACCCCCATATGATTGCTTAATATGTTTTGCGGCCCCGGACTTCTTGCTACGCCACATTGCGTCTCTGAGTTTCTTGCAATGCGCGCAGTCTTCAAGCGCCTTGCTTTTGGCAAGCCTTGGACTCTTCTTTCAACCTCTCATGGAACCCCAAGGAACATTCCAAGCGGGGCGTTTTGAGGTCCCAGGTGTCTCGAGCAGACGTTTCGAGCGCGCCCTCCGGCAGCACGTGGCTTGTCAGCGCTCCAGGTTCATTTCTACGACTTGCAGATTTGTTAATTCTTAGATAGGCTTCATCTACCAGGGCCATCTATTTGCCCTAAAAGGACACCCATGCTTGCAGATAGCTTACACTAGGATACACTGGGGGGCTTGAGGAGGTGACCCTAACCGTTTGCCATGGCCTTCGAGCTCCTTGGAAGCATGGTGCGAAGTCGGAGGGGGGGGGGGGCGATGGTTTTCCGGAAAAATGAGGACCATCCACTACCAAGTGGGTGTGGCTGAAATCATTAAGAAGCTAGGGTTACGCAGGTTTTAGTCTTTGGTTCCATTTGCCAAGGTGCAATTTTGGTACATTTTTGTGAGCCACAGCCATGTGTGTAAGTCCCGGGCGTGCTTTTTGTTGGTTCCCGACTTTGAGGCGCACAAACTCAAGAGCCCAGGTCTTCTTCAGCAATGCGCCCGCCTCGGGACAGCATTTCTCTTCGGTGAGCTTGGCAGAAAAAACGGACAGAGACCAGCATTTGCCAAAAGGCACATTTTTCCGCTCTGAGAACACTGAAATTGCCGGCGACGGCTGGAAAGCATGGGTGAAAGCTGCAGAGATTTATGCGGAACCAAAGGCTCGGAGCCTTTCTGTCGCACCCTAAGCCCAAAAACAGGGAGCTTCGTGAGTGCTTTGAGTTGGGTTTTTTTTTGGATCGATTTGAAGATGGGCTCGTGCAAAGTGCAGCTTTAGATCTGGAAAGGTTTCGACTTGTGAAGTCAGAAAAACGCTGGGCCAGAGGAATCATGAGCCATTAGGTGTGTAGGGGCCGGTATTTTTTTGGTTTCTACTACGTCTTCCCTTTGATTTGTCCACTCCTTGGGGCATTTTTTTCGGGGATTCCGATCCTTTTCCGCGGAAATGCCATGGCCGTGGTTTGGAAGCTCCTGCGGGACCTGCTCCGGCCAATGCACCGGAAGCTGGCGCTGCTCGCGTGGCTCGGCGCTTCAGGGCGGGAGGTACTACTGGCAAGTAAGATGGGGCCTGGAATTTTTACTGGCTCGCAGCCATCCCGTTAGCCTTTTAGCCTTCGAGTGTTCAGTGGTAGTTTCCACTTGACCCAAAAGTTATTCACTTTTATCGGGGGGATCTGAGGGCAGCCCAGTTTAGGTTCCCCTTCCTTGGCGATTTGGAGTGGTGGTTTGGCGTTGGACTCGCGCCCCGGGCTTTTGTAGAGGCTTTTTTTCGATTAGCCACTAACCAAGCCACGAATCCAAACCACCAGCTGAGATGTGAAGTTGTTTCGCTTGGTTGGTGCTGAAAGTTTGAGGGGATGAGGCGAAAGTAAAGCAGGATTTTGTATTGGACGTTTATCGGTTGTTAACGACGCGGACCCCGGGGTGGAAGTGCGGCGCCGTGGTGGCCAAAGAAGACCCAATTGGTAGGTTGGAAAACCCAAAAGCTCAGGTCAAACGATCATTCAAGTTCAAAAGCACACTAAGTCATGAACTGTATTTCAACAACATACTGGTAGTGAAATTATCATACTTACACAAAACTCAGAATGTGTATGTCTGTGTGTGTGTGTCACTTTGTGGCAGTGGGCTACTAGAACAGCGTCCTGTTCTCATAGTTGACATGTGTTGCAGTTACTTAATAAATGATTCCTTTCGCTCTGCAGTCTTTGCACTTCAGCTTGGCCACCTGTTGCGCGCCTCGCTTGCGGCTGCCCAGGCTGGCGGCCGTGGCCAGTCTGCTTTGGCCTCTCCACTTTGCGCGACCTGCGAGCGATGGCCGATGCTGGCGGGAGCTTTTCTCTTGCCAAAGCGGCGAGGCAGGTGCGCGCACAGCATGCCAGTGACGTATCCATAGCGGTGTTGGGTTGCACTGGCCTTGTTTCATGCCCGTTGGCGCCGTAGGCAAGTGAGCTGAGCCCCAAAAAGCCGCAAGGTAGATGCGGTTTAACGGAGCCATCGATTCAAAGCATGCCCCAAAGGACCTGGACCAAAGTGAGCTGAGCCCCCAAAATCCGGTCAGACCTGCTTGGATGCGGTCAGCGCGGCGGAGTGCAACGGTACTTGGCTCGGCCCGAGCACGCCGATAGAGGCCTTCCAAGCGAGGCGGGAAGTGGGCCGGCCGCCTTTGTGTCGCGTGTCGCCAGAGCTTGCAATGAGCATTGCACTTCTCAGTTGCCAAAAGCGAATCGACCTTTTGACCTTTTGGCTTTCCCGTTTTGGTCCATTTTTAGTGGAGGTGCCAGAAGGTTAACCTTTTATTTCTGGGTCCTTTGGGCAAGTGAGACTTTGAACCTTGGCATCCTTAGCTTTGGGTTTTTTTTCAGCTCCAATCGGATTTATTTCTTTAGTTGCATGAACCGGAGGCTGGCATTGGCCTGAAGCTTGCGCTGGCCAAGTATCTTTGTTTTCTTTGGGCTTGTGTTTCTTGACGCTTCCTTGAGCTTTCGGAAGGCTCGGACCGCCTCGGTCCGAGTTTTCCAGTTCGCTCTTGCTCCTTCCTGCAACGCTTCAGTAAACTCCTCATGCCTCAGAGGAAATCTTGCGAGCAGCTCAGCAGCTCCCTCCCCAAGTCCCCAGCCCCAAGTCCCAACACAGGTTGCTTTTGATGCCACTTCCAGTTTCAGTTACTTGGAGATCACTTGGAGCATGGGGAGTGCGGGCTTCACATCACCTTCCAATTGCTGAAATTTCTATTTTCCATAGAGGTCCCCTTGTTGGTTTTGAAGGGAAAGGATTTCGCGACTGGAAACGAGGATTTACCTTCAATTTGGCACAAAGAACCGAGGTGGCTGGCCTGGACACATCTGTTTTGCCTTTTGTCGGCTACTGGAAGCATGTGCTCATTTTTGGGGGTGGCGAAAACCGAAATGGGCGCGCGTCTGAGAGGCGCTTGCCGCAGCTGCTGAATTTGGCGCCCCCCAAGAGCGGCACCACAGACCTCTACCGACGTCTCCTGGGCCTTGCGCAGGTCGTGCCCGGCAAGGCCGAAAAGTCGAAGCTGTGCGGAGCGCGCCCGCAGTGGTGGTGTGAGAAGGAGGGGCCAACCTGCAAAACAAAGGCGCCTCTTTCTCGGACTTTGCCTTGGAGACAGAAAGCGCAAGCGGTGGCCGAAAAGGTCATCAAGAGATATTTTTTTTTCAGAACACTATGATCTCTTCATTGAACTAAGGACCTTGAGACTCATTGAGAGATGTTTGCATCTTTGCAACAAAAGGGACCTTAACGTTGCATGGTCCCGACTGCGCGACAGGAGCCGAGCTTTTGGCCCAACCTCCGGAGCTTCTCCTTGGAGGACTACACCTCGTGCCTCGTATCCGAGATCCGAGGGGCCGGCGGGTTTCTTGGTTTTTGGGGTCTGAAAAAATGGTCTCATGCGAGCCACAATCATAACCCGGGTAGCAAACACCTGAGCCATAATCAAGCCGCACCCATGTCTTGCTTTGCCAGAAGCTACCCTACTACCCGTTTTATTTTGTTTTTGTTTTTGGGCTTGGATCTGCCATGGTTGCTTTCTCTCAGCTGGTTGTGAAAGCTGCCCAGGTTCTATCAGCCCCTTGCAGAGAAACTGGACACGAATGCCATCTCCGTGGATTGGTCGCCTTTGAACTTCGAGGCCGATTTGCCACACCACGGTCCCATTGAGCGGGTCGATGCAGGTCACTTTTCCGCTGATTTCAGCCATTTCCCAGGCAACGTTTGGTGAGTTACCTGATATGCATGTCTGAAAGACTCTCAACATCATGGTGGTTTCTCAGAGCTGCAAATCCGAGGTTGGAGGTTTTTCTCTCACGTGTCAACAGCCGGGTATGTGACCTGACCGTGTGCTCGGAAATCATGATTGACGTGTCAATTCGAGATGATCTAGGCATGTTTGTTCTCAGCGGGTCCGGTTTAGCCCGTCATAAGCCAGAGGCCTAAGCTGCCTGAGTCTGAGTAATGGGAAAATGGACCGATGGGAAACCGCCAATCGAATTGGCTCGGCTCTCTTGGAATTATGTCTTTCCGAATTTTTGCATTGGGAGCCCTTTCAGTGAAGCTTTCTCTTGTGCAAATTTTCAAATCGTGCGTGCAAACATCCAGATCTTGTGCCATCTTGTGCCCATGAAAGTCTTCCCGTCGCATGGCCGCTGTGGGCATGGGAGGCGAACCCTTACGTCATCCGCTCGGTGCTTCCCTCCGCGCGCTTCGTGGCGTTCTTGCGAAGCCCGGTGCGGCGGGCAGAGTCGGACTACAACTTCGCCCTCTTCTCGGTGAGCCTCAGCTGCCGCAGCCGAAGCTCTGGTAGCTCGGTGCAGAGGGCAAATGCTGTTCTGTTGCAATACTGTGGATGGACGAAATCCATTTCGCACCACCAAAGAGAAACCCTGGAATGATTTCCCCTGTAAGCGGTGCAGGATTTCGTCCACCCACAGTATGACGTTTCGGGTTCTAATGGTTCTGGGCGGGGCGAGTTCAGGCTGGGTTTGGATGCGGGAGTTTGCCCGAGGGATGTGGGGGACCAGGACCAGGTCGGCCCGCGCAGAGGCTCAAGCCATTCGAGATTGAACCTCACTTAGGCGTCCGCGCCATGGGCTTCGCCCTGGTTGCCTTGACCCTCATTGCCAGCCGCGGCAGCGGCGAGAACTGCTCGGACTGCGAGGATGCCTGGCTGGTTCAGGCGCGAGCTCCGAGCCGCCCGGGTCCGTGGCAAAGCCCTCGAGACCTGGCCACAGTGGTGCCACCGGCACCAATGCCTTGGGGCGATGTCGAACTTCAGTTTTTGAGCGCCATTCCCGTCTTCGGCAAAGGGACCAACTACATTGCTCTGCTTCATGATTACCACCACGGCTTTTGGGACTATGCCACTAAACACCGGCTATTCTGCGCTTCTTCGGACGGAAGCCATAAGGCTGCGTTGAAGCTGTGGGGTGGTGAGATAGACAGGATGAAGAGGACTATTGCCTTCCATTGCCCCTGGCCGCAAGAGGCAGCAGATGGCAACTATCACCTCATAGTGCAAAGCGAGGAAGGCATGCAGCTCGGGGAAATCCGGACAAAACAAACCCCAAACCTGCTCGGCCGCCATGGGGCCATCGCTTGCATCGCCGTGGCTTGGAATGAACCTGGCATGAAGCCCACCAGCACCAGAGCGCCCCAGTGGTTGGAGTACAGCTTGATGCACGGCGTTGGCCACTTCTTGTTGTACACCCAAGATGGTATGGACGAGGAGTTTCTCCGGGTGTACCGACCATATTTGGAGCAAGGCCTTGCGACCCGCATCCACATCACTCCCGTCAAAACCCACTTCGAACATTATCATGCCGTCCATCACTCAACACACAATTGGGTGGCCAACGACTGCCTCTATCGAGCCAAGCATCATGCCCGGTGGGTGTTGCCAACCATCGATTGGGATGAGTACTTGATCGTCAAAGAAGGCGCCCCGGCCAGGTGGCATGGGCCGAACTTCATGGCTAATCTTTGGGACCAGGTGGCTGCAGAGGCATCGCTGACACATAACGAGGTCCATGCGGTGATGCTTTCCCGCTACCAGTTCGCAGTCTCACCCGCCTCGGAGCTGGATACGACATCTACGCTGCGGGAGCGTAAGGTTGCACGGAAGTTGCTTAAATACGTGGTGAACCCCGATGTGGTGAATTCTGTCTTTGTTCACTGGCCTACAAGTTGGGCGGAAGGTACCTTCGCTCTTAAGCTTAAACGAGGCGTGGCCTCCTTGAATCACTACAGGTTGAGCGAGGAGGAGGTTGGCGAAGGAAATGGCATGGTGCGGGACGAGGCCCTGGTCCCGGAAGTGCCTGCCATAGCCAATGCCCTCAGAGCTCGCTTCGGGAAGCCATGGGAGAAGCTGATGCTTGAGCTCACGCCAGTGACGGCGGCAAATCCGCCAGATGATTTTTATGAAGATGTGCCAGTTGACGGCTTAGAGTTTGATGACGGCTTCGAATATGATGACGGCTTCGAATTTGATGATTGATGCGATGGTCAAGGCATCCAAGGCTTAGATTATCAACCTATCAACCTAGTCTCACCGATCCATGAAACCTGCGTATGTCGAGCAAAGCAAAATAGCAGCTGGGCGGAGGTTTTGGATAGTAGCAAAGGGGCACCAGGAGAGTGGCTATAATCTTGACTGCTATTGGGTTGGATCTTTAGGCTTTAACTTTCTTTGGGAAATCAAGTTGGGTTGTCCACAAAACTCACAAAAAAGCTAAACTTTTTGCAGGGGGGTCAACAGCAACAAAGAGGGCCCGCTTCTCTGCCAAAAGACGCGGGCGTTTGACGGGCGCCGGGAAGCGATCTGCATGCTGAAGCCTTCATTGGACCTCCAGAGGCTCGACTTTTCTTCCATCTGAAGCGAATAAATGTGTTTACAGGGTTCCACTTTTTGGCTACCCGAAGCGCAGGGGTTCTCCCCAAATGGGGGGAATGAACCACCCCTGGGTTTGAGCCTACCCTGAAATAGTCAGAACCCTGCTTGTTTGTGTTCCCCTGTTGGTTTGAAGCTGGGTGTGTCACTGCTGGAAATTTACATTTTGTTTCCAGGGACTTACGTGAATTGCATACTGGAGGTATTGCTTATCAGAGGTTGTACACACTTTTGGCCGTGGATGCCAATGATGAATGCCTGCAGGAATACACTCACACATGCAATCACACACACAAAGACGCCCGCCCGCCCGCACGTACGGACTCCGAGCGCACTACAATTATAAACACGCGCGTGCACGCGCACAACACAGGTGAGTGTGGGATACAATATGCTAGCGCACGCCCGGCAGCACGCGCGCGCGCACGGCACAAATCGCGAGTGTCAGGGTAGGCCCTACGGCATGAGTGGTTGAACAATTGTCGCCACCTTTCCCTTCCATCCTCTTATCAATGCATGCAATGCAAGCCGCGAACCCTCTAGGCGCTTTGAGGCCAAAACTTCAGTGTAGGCGTAAGCTCTGTGATACCGACGCGCACGTCACGTGTACTCAAGCATGGCATTGGTGCCGGCGAAGGGCATGCATTACGGTCTTGGCATCCGCAGGAAGGCACTGTTTTCGCAATGGATCTTGGTTTCAGGGGGCATCTCCCAGCAAGTCCGCGAAGGTAGTTGCTCGCGTCCGAACGGTTTGACAAAGGCCACTTCGCGAGGGCGACGTAGCTTGCAATCCGTCCGTGAAGCCGCTCGCCAAGCGCAGGCTCCCCAGCAGTACAAGCTCAGCAGGATCAGACAATACTGCTCGCATGATGTATTTTGTTTGATTTGTTGCGTGCCCACATCTGCTTTTGCAGGTTTGTTGTTGTGAGAGGTCGGAAACAGTGTAGCCTTGTGGTTTGTTATGCATTGTGGCATGAGCTCCGCCATGATTGATCTTGTCGGCTCATCATGTGGTTGCCGCTTCGACTTGGTGAGCGGGGGTCCTAACTTGCAAAAAACATGTACAACTTGCCAACCATTGGGAGTCAAGCCTCTTGCTTTTAAGCGTGGTTGCTGGGACATGTATTTGACTGCAAGAGTCTGTTGGGAGCAGTCGGCAAGCACCGGGTCAGTCGCAACTTGCTCGGCGAGTTTTGGGCGTTTTTTTGCCATATGTGGGTCAAACTTGAACCACCAGTGGACCAGGAATCGGACCGCAGGTTTTTCCATGTTTCCATTTACCTGGGCACGTTTTGGGGTTATTGACCACGCCCATATCCCAGCCGCTTTCAGGCAGTGGTAGCCCCCAGCATATGCATCATCTCTTCCTTGGCGCCGCTCAGCGCTTCACCGCGTGCCTGGGCGACGGACCTGGACCTTTCGGACGCGGTGCGGCCCGGAAGTGCTGGCGCCAGGGCGAGCGGAGCTTGAGCTGCGGCAACTTTCGCAGCCCCTCGACATGGCACAGGGGTCGGTTCCTATGTTGATAGCTATATATATATATATATATATTTATTTATTTATATTTATATGTCCCTTGTAAATTTTGGTACTTTGATCGTCGCCTGGAGGCGCGTAGCAAAATCTTGAGATATCTGGCCTTTTCTTTCCTGTGCGTATTGCCGCTTTCTGATGCATCACCCCCTCAAAAATGGAATTGGGGGAGGGGGGTGACCCCTGGAATTCCATTTGTGGTTCCATCTTCCCTTTATGGGGAAGACTAGATAAATGGAATTGGGGACCCCACCCCCCTTCCCCGTAAGGTAGGGGGGATTGTGATGCAAAGTGATCCCATGCAGCACGCTCGCCTGGGAGGCAGTGGCGCCTACTTGCTTCGGGGTCTCTACAGTGTATTCCTCGGCTGGTTTGCCGAGGCACGAAAACATGTCCGGCTCCTGTTTCTTGCCAACCTCTGAGTTTCTCAAACAAGTTACTCAGTTGCTTGGACTTTGCTTGCATGCAACATGTATATAGTTTTGGCCGTTCAAACGGAACAGTCGCATTCATTCCATCTCCAAAATAGCCTTCAAACAGCAAACAACTAGATTTACCACAATAATTGGATGGTGGAGCTTGGGTCTGGTCGGCACGTTTGCTGCTCACATGACCGAAGTCGGTCGGTTGGCGTCCTCCGCGTTGCGCATCCCGCAGCGCGCCGTCCGCTCGCTCGCCTGAGATCCGCGCCGCGGATGAGCTTCGCAAGGTGTCCTTTTTGGTTGTTCTGCTTCACAAATAGAAGGCGATTCCTGGTTTACCTGGTGGTTATCTCTCATCCACCAGGGAAACCCATCTATTTTCCCAAAAAGGACACCTATCTTGGCAGGCCTTCGACGCCTCGCGGTTCCTCCTGCGCCGCGCCGAAGATTTGGACGCGGCGGCCTGGGCGCGGCTGCTGCACTTCGCGGGCCTCGACCACGAGGCGCGGATCGAAGCGGAAGGACGAGCGGAGGGCGACTCATTGGACAAGACATTCATTGATCACCGTCAATCCAAAGGGCATCCAAAAAAAAGCTTGCACAGATGTTCCAAACCTGGGACCCTACCAATGGAACCCTTCGGGGAATCGGTGGTTTCTTCAGCATTTTGCCTGGAACAAAAGTGCAGCGCAGGTAGAAAAACACACTGACTTGTTTGTTTTTGGGGCCTTCTCCCTCTCAATTCTTTCCCCCTCCCCCCAACACTGTGCGCTATCGCCAAGGCAAAAAGACCGGGGCGTCGAACGGTCCAGGTGAAAAGGGTGGGAGCTGTGGATTCGTGGCTTGAAATTTGAGCTGGCTTGAAATTTGAGCTGGCTTTTGTGGAGGACACATGGGGTGAACCCACCACCAACCTCCCAATCCAAAGCACCAATCGAGGGAAGCTGATTTTCTGCAGTAAGTCCAGGCGTTTGCGGCTCTTGCCCGAAGGGTAGACTTGGCATGAAGGATTTCTGTTCAGGCGTGGCAGCTTATCGAGTGTTAAATGCATCCAGGCAGACAGTCAGACTTGTCCCTTCCATGTAGGTGCCCAAAGGCAGGAGGCAAGCGATGCAAAAACCCAGATCATGGATGTTCAACTTACCCCGCCGATTTGGAGCAATGCGGGGCTGCAACATTTGGAAGGCCCTTGTTATGAAGCGAGTTCAACCCCATTGTCCCGAGTGCATTGAGCACATGGTGCCTGTTTAGCCAGCCTGGACAAGTGCTATAAGACGCTGCTGGCTCGGAAAAAAAAAATGAGGGGGCTGATTGGCATAGGTTCCAGGCCAGACCCAACCAAGTGGCAGTTTTCTTGATCCAAGTGGGTGGCTTTTCCCTGTGGTTCTCCAAGTTGTGCCTTTTGCTCGACAAGGAGCCCTGAAATGTAGCGGACCTACCCCATAGTGATCCACCCCAGTTTATTTATAGCGGGTTTTTCTTTAAGTGATGATTCCCCACTAGTTGCCACCCTATCAACAAACTGGGGTTGTTTTAATCCGGGGTCAACATTACATTGCCCTATGGCCTCTCCTGTGGATGGACGGCAAGAAAGCCTGGATTCCTGATTCGATTCCCCAGCGTAAATACCCACAAACCGGGGGGGAGGCAGAGGGGGAGGGAGCCCAAATAAGCCCTAAAGAGGCCTAAATGGCTATGAATTTTAATGGGGAACTCCCGTGGACAGAAATCCCCACTAAAGGGTCCCTAATTAAGATTCATACCCAAATAGCTTAATCGCTTATTCGGGCTCCCTCCCCCTCCCCTCCCCCCCCCCATCCACCCCCAGCCCCATCCGCCATGGGATTTGAGGCGATGGACTTCGATGCAACGAGGCTTTGGGCGCCCGGCGCACCGAAGCGCTCGCACGGAGCGCCTCGAAGTCGAATGCGCGTGGCACCTCTCGTCGTGCGGATTTTGTTCGGCGATTTTGGGGATGGCGATTTGGTTGGCTTCCGAAAAGTAAAATCTGACCCTTCACAGCTTCAGGTCATTCCAGGGATTGCGGTAGATGGGTATGGGTCATGTTTTTTCTTCACCAGCTTGCAGATTTTAGTCCTTGCTTCCATTTACCACCCATTTTGGGGTTACCCTATTTTGGACAACCACACCCAGATGGACAAGGCGGAAACCCAGTCAACAATTTTGCCTTGGGCAGTCCCTGCAAGACCACTGAATCGATTGCTTTACATTTGCAAGCCTCGGGCCGGCTGAAGCTTGCCAATGGCTCGCAAGTGGAAAGCTCCCAAGGCCCTATGGCCATATAGCCTCTTGAAGCAGTTTGGTGAACAGGTCGCTTCCATTTGCTTAAGAAAATGTGTTGCGTCTTGCCCTGTTGCTTTTGAAGGTAACCGATGACTGCTGGAAGCAAATGGAAGGCAAGGACACGGTTTTGCATCATGTCACGCAATAGTGAAGGACAAGACACCAAGATGCACGAGTGACATTCGACCCAGCTACACGGTTTTAGTCGGGATATGCACTTGTTGGAGTTGCCTCAAGTTCCCCCCCTCCTCCCCCACGAATTGAGACAATTATCAGATTGCAGAGGGAAAGGAGGCGGGACACTAGGTTCTGCTGCGTTTTAACTGATATGAGTGATGATATTGGTGG